TTTATTTCCATTTGATGTAAAAATAATTGGGATTTTTTTTAAATAATAATTTTGTTTGTTAAAATAAGAAATAATACAAATTTAATATAAATTTATCCATAAATAAGTAATGAAAATGTGTAAATTAATCAATAAATAAATGAAATATTATATATTTCATATTTTGATAGCAATTGAACTTCATTTTCATTTGATATTATGAAAAATTTTTATTCAAAAATTGACTACTACAAATGTAAAACTTTCTTTATAAATTATTAAATTGGAAAAAAAATATTTTAATTATTTGCTTTATACAAAGCTAAGTTTCTTATACAGTTGTTGTTTACTACTGAAGGCAATGACTTATAAGAATTAAGGCTTACAATAGGCAGTTTCTTCGAGACCAATGACTGATAAGAACATTTCTCATATTTTCATGTCAGAACCAAAATGCAGAAGTGACCTGAAACAGAGTTTATTATCAAAAACGTATCTTACTCACTTCTTTAGTTAATTTTATATGTAGAATAAGTATTTGTAATTAGTCTTAGGAAAAACGTTAAAGATACAACTACAGAGTCTTGAGGGAAGAACTACAATAAAGCAAACACTTTAAAGAATATTTTAATAATAAACCAAAAGTAAAACTTGTTGAATTCATTATTCACCAAACCTAAGGCTCCAAAACAGAAGAAGATATCCCACAGTGTTACCACAGTTATACCATGGATACTGTTACTCTAAGAACGAAGGTTCCATGTAAGAAAGAAATTTCAGTGGTCGAAAAAAAGCATAATTCAAACAATTAGAAAATAAGTTGTACAGATGACTTAATCAATATAAATAGAAAATGTCTACAAAAAAAGTTGTTATAAATTTATTGATTGCAGAAAATTATGGATTTTCAGTTGAAGATTTAGGAACCATTTGTTAGTAAAAAGAGAAAATTAAGGAAGTTTTCTGACGAAAATTTATTAACAACATAGATTTTAAATTGTACTTAAATCAGATTGACAACTTTCTTTTCAGAGAGCTAATAAAAATTGAAAATTGTCAAATATTTCATATTAAACAATAAATCTGACAAATATTTATAATGTTTGAAGATTTAGAAGTCAAATATTACAATTTCTTTAAATACTTTCACGAGAGAATTATAATCCGATTGAAAAGTTATACTAATTAATGCATATTTATATAATCTTCAAACGAATCAGAATGACAATGAAAGAAGCTTTGAAAATGAAAAAAAAAAAACTTTTTCATTGAACAGATTAAAAATCTTTTAACAAATAAAATGTATCAGAAAATCAATTTTATTTCACAAAAATTGTAATTAAAATTTTGTAATTATTTCATATAAACTAACAACATTCGTTTATATTTAATTATATACATTTTTTTAAATATAAGTGAAATTCCCTTACTTACGAACAAAATTCATTAAAACAAAAGACTGAATCTGTCAAGTATCAGTAGCAATAAATCCACGTTCTTGAGGTTAACAACTAATTCACTATATATCTACATCATAAATGTCAAAGCACAATGACATTTGGCGCCATCTGCAAAAATGGCAGCCAATTCAAATTATGACATTACTTTTGCGCCACCTTATGCAATATTTTTCGAAATTATGTTTTGTTGCATTTGTTTCGTTTTTTATTAAATATTTGTGATGAAAAGTATTTGTAAGTAAGTATTTCGTTTATTTCAATCTATTTTTTCAAATTTATGCAGTCAGTAATACGGAATTTAACATATATAAAAGTAAAAACCATGATAAATTGTGCTAAGATAAGTATATTTTGAAAATTCTTCCGACTTACGAACAACCTTTTGAAACGGAACTAGTTCGTAAATCGGGTGAAACCTGTACTAATTTCTGATAAGGATCTTTGTTTTTGAACTCACACGTAATATTTTTGTTTGCGTTTCAGTGTAACATTCACCCATTAATTACCTCTAATTAAAAACATCGTATCCAACGGTTATTTATATGCGCTATTGATTCGGAATTGTAATTAGCGCTAATTGCCATCTGGTTTTACGTGCCAAATAACTCATTCAACGGGGATTCCATTCAGCAAGATCATTGGCACAAAATAAAATTTCCAATTGGGAAAACGCTCGTGCGTATTTCCAATAATTTTTTATTTCTCTCAATTCGTACAATTTTTCACTCACCCAAACATAATTTGCAATTTCCTCTCTCTCCCTTTTTTTTATTTCATTTTTGATATAATATTCCAGTGCATGCAAATCAAAGTTTGTTTTTTAGCATCAGAAAATGTCCGAGCAAATTTGTTTTAGCATTTTCTGTATAAACACTTAAAACCGGCGAAGCGACGTGAATTTAACGCGAATTACAAAATTTTAAGAGCGATCGTTATTATTAAACACACGAAACGAAACAAAAAATAGGAATTTAATGGTCCACCTTAATGGGAAGTTTATTGTAATGAAAACATGGTAAAATTGGTGTTTAATCGATCCGGGTTTTGGAGTAACGGTGCAATTTATATTGGTAAGGACAATATTGATAGTTAATGCTTTCCGATGTATGAAATATTTCGCCTCTGCGTTTTGGCTCCAGTCCAAATGCTGAAATTCGATGCGGCACGCAGCGAAGGATGTCCAGGATTCCAGGCGCAGCGTGCGTTTCTCTATTATAAAGTATCCACAGTATCAATGGAATATATCCAATATTAAAGCTGAATTGAAGACCATTTAAAATCGCAGCTTGAACATCTACCATTTCCAGCATATTGAATTGTTATTACCTATATACTTTTCTTGTTATTATTACTAAGTACTAAAGTACATCCGTTACCGATCATAATTAGATCGTAAAGCCTTCGGAAATCGATATTTGTTTCTTTGTTTTTGTTCGGGAACCGAGGTTTTCGAAAAAAAATCTAAAGATATAGAAAATTGAACTATTTATACAAGAATACTAAATTGCAGCTGTTTAAACAACATAAAATTAGATAAAAAAATGTTTGGTTTAATTAAATTTATAAAATGTTATGAAATAGAATGTGAAAAAAATAATTAAATGGAAACAAATATAAGTAAATTAATTGTTTTACATAAAAATGTGAAACAACTATACACAAATAAAATTTATTAAATAAAATGGTAAAATATTCAATAATGTCTATATATGAATGTTTCCATTGTACATTGTATAAAATTAAATTTATTATATAATGTTATTTATTTACAAAAAATATTTACGCACGTCCATAAAATGAACTGTGTAAATATACATTTAAAAAAAAGATTCATTCAACTGAATTATAAATAAATATTTAATAAAAGTTCAACTAAATCTCACTGTAATGTTAATTTATTATAACTGTATTAATTTTTTTATGTAAGACAAAAAAAATTGTGTGATATTTTTTGTAGAAAAAAAATTGTATTTAAGAAAATTTCATTTAAAAGTATTTTTGTCAATTAATTTTTCAAAAGTGAAATGAATTTCTACAATATATTTCACAAATTAACTATAAAATAAATTACTCAAAAGTAGTAATAAGTTACTTGTCATTTATTGCATTGGTAATAACTTGTTGAGTTTCTTAATCTACTTAGTAAACTTCTTCAAACTCTTCCTATTTCTTCATTTTCCTCCTTTCGTCTGTTTTGGACAGTATCTTATGACATTTCTACACGTACAAATAAAGCGGAACATAAGTACTTGTTGATAAGTTGAAAGATGGATAAATAATTGAATAAAAATTTATGAAAAATTGTGAAATTACAATGCTTTTCAAAGTAAATTAGCAAGTACTTGTAAAGAGTGATATTCAATGTCTCAAGTAATAAACGAATTATGTTTGAAATAAATAATTAAATTAGAGTTTATAAAAAAAATGTTAAATGCAAGTACTTGTGAAGAGTTATATAAATTATTAAATACTTCAAATTCAAATTATCAAATAAATAACGTGTGTTGTTTGACATAAATAACTTAATAGTAGTTTATGAAAAATTGTGAAATGAGAATCCAAGTGTTCAAGTGACTTGAGCAAGTACTTGTGAAGTGTGATATTCAAATAACAAAGTGATAAACGAGTGATGTAGTTTTAAATTGTAATGAATTTCATATTTACATAGTAATACGAGTGATGTTTGAAATATATAATTAAATTGGAGTTTATAAAAAAAATAGTGATATGTAAATTCTTTTCAAATTTTCAAAGTAACTTGTACAAGTACTTGTGAAGATTGATATTCAAATACCCAACTAATAAATAATTAAATTCTAGTTTATGAAAAATTGTAAAATGAAAATTATTTCCAAATGTTCAAAGTGATTTGAGCAAGTACTTGTAAAGAGTGATTTTCAATATCCCAAGTAAGAAACGAATAATGTTCGAAATAAATAATTAAATTAAAGTTTATAAAACAAAAAGTGAAATGTAAATGCTTTTCAAAGTTTTCAATGTAACTTGTACAAGTACTTGTGAAGAGTGATATTCAAATATCCAACTAATAAGCGAGTGTTGTTTGACATAAATAATTAAATACTAGTTTATGAAAAATTATGAAATGAAAATTATTTCCAAATGTTCAAAGTAACTTGCGCAAATACTTGTAAAGAGTGATATTCAATGTCACAAGTAATAGACGAATTATGTTTGAAATAAATAATTAAATTGGAGTTTATAAAAACAAATGTGAAATGTAAATGCTTTTCAAATTTTCAAAGTAACTAGTACAAGTGCTTGTGAAGAGTGATATTCAATGTCCCAAATAATAGGCGAGTGTTGTTTGACATAAATACTAGTAAATACTAGTTTATTAAAAATTCTGAAATGAAAATTATTTCCAAATTTTCAAAGTAACTTGTGCAAATACTTTTAAAGAGTGAAATGTTCAGAGTGACTTGAGCAAGTACTTGTGAAGGTAGTTTATGAAAATGTTTGAAATTGTAATGATTTTCATATTTACATGTTAACTTGTACAAGTACTTGCGAAGTTAATAATCCTAAGTAAAAATAATCAAGTGATGTTTTAAATAAATAATTAAATAGTAGTTCAAGAAAATATCTGAAATTGTGTAAAGCAGGGGTTCCCAAACTTTTTTCCGTTTGCAACGCCACCAATTCAAAATATTGTTCTCATGGCAAACTTTAAGTTAATATTCGCATAGTTTGTGAACCTCTGGTGTAATGTCTGTAATTGCTTGCGAAATAAATGAAATGATCATTTCATCTACTGAGATCTCGTGCATGTAATGAATGGATTCGGTGCGTTAAATCAAAATGAAAAGAGAAGAGAAGTTCAATAATCCAATATCGAGGTCGAATCCATGATGCCGTGGCCCGAAGGGCATCCGGGATAAAGGGAGATGCAGTCGACGCCGTAGTTGCCGGCCCTTTGGGCGTCCAAATAAATCTCATCAATAGCTTCGGCCCCGTGTTCCGCCTGCCCATCTCGACTGTAGTTCGGCCTGCGAAAATGAAACTCAATTTCTGTAATAAAGTACCCAACCTTCAACCATCCACCCAACATCAACATCATTCCCATCCAAAAAACAAACTCACGTGAGGGCAATGTGCAGCAGTTCCCCGTACAATCCATTAGCCTCGTGATGCAAAGGGCTCATCGCGTTGTCGCAAATCGTACGCAGGACGCAATCCCTGCCGTTTACACCGTCTCTGAAAAAACACACATTCATTCTCTTTACACTGCAGAGCTCACGAAACAACAATAAACACAACAAAGAAAATATCAAACAAAACCCTAAAGCACGCAATTTGTGCAATTGCGAAAAACCGCAGGATTTTGCAGCGCGCGGACACCGTAAATATTTGCGTTTTATTTTATAAAACACTCCATAATCTATAGTAAATATGTTCGAAATGTATTTACCATCTGCGCATAATGAATCGACACGATTTTAACCAAAATTTAATCGAAAATAATAATATATTATTATTACCATCATGCTTGTTCCCAATAATTTTTAATTGTTTTCTTTCATTATAAACAAATAAATAAATAATTTACACAAACATCAGCACGAAATTCATATTATATTTGTATATAATTATGTGGATATGCAACTTGTACAATGTTTTATTTAATATACATGAATATTAATCAAATAGTAAATTATATTCAACAAATAATACAATGTTAGTAATTTATATCAAAAATAATTTATTTTAGATTTTTTTTTCATTAAAAATGTAATTAAACAATTTAAGTGAAGGGAAATTAATAAATTTATAATTATATTCCTAGTAGTTTCAGAAATGAGTGGAAAAATCAATTTAATATTAATAATTTTCAATTTTCCAAGTTTCATATAAATTCATCAAAAATCTTAACGAATTTGTGATTCTTTTTTTGTTATAGTAAAACTAATAAATATAAGTGAAAAATATACACGAAACAATACATTTTTAATTGTATTTACTTAATTTTTTCACAATATTCCTTTCATAAATTCCACTTGAAATTGATGATGGAAACGTTAAGGATTATTAGATTATAAATGTTTGGAGGACTTTACAATTGCATTAATATGGATGACACAAGGATTTATTCATTGTTAAACAATTAGTTTTGAAAGTTGCGATAGGGAATTTACATGAAAAGCTGTGCAATAACAAAAAAAATACATTTATATATATATATATAATATTACAAAGAATTTGCATATGAAAGTTTCTGCGAACAGCACTCGGCGTTTAATAATTGCGACCGAGCAGAATAGTGTAGGTTTTATAATTAAATCACGATTACAAATGCGAATGTGGGCACAGAACTGCGAAGCAATTAATTAATTATGATTAAGTTGAAATATTGTTGTCGCGCTGCTGCGACACACAGTCTGCAAACTTCTCCCACTTGTTATATCTCTGGTGGCTCTGATTAATGGTGCAGTTTGAGCACTTTTTCGTTACTCGCAAATAGAAAAAAAAATATAATATAATTGTAACGTGTGTATCTGTAACTCTCTTTATTTTTGCCTGTCAATCTTGGTGTTATTGATGTTGTAGTTGTGCTGTAGGTGAAATAAAATTATGTAGATGTAAGCATACATTTTGATCCTTTTTCAATATTGTTTTATGTAAGTAAATCATAGTAATTTTACACCATTTAATAAAACCCAAGATTCGAAAAATTGTGATTGAAATTATACCTTTATCAAATGTATAATTGTGAAATAATATTGAGATTTCAGGAGAAGCTTTCATTCTTTTTCAATTGAATAAAATTGTTTATTAACGTTGAGAATGATCTAATTATTGTGGTTGTATTTACACTTTTGTGAAAGGTATCATTATAAAATAATATTAATGTTTAAGGACAAGTTTAGATCCTTAATTTAATCCTTTTTCAATTGAAAAACATTGTTTTGTCCCATTGAGAATATTGTTATTACTATGATTTCTTTAATCAAAAATATAATTGTAAAATTATGTTCATTTTTAAGGACAAGTTTTGATCCTTAATTTGTTCCTTTTTCAATATAAAAACATTGTTTTGTCCCATTCAGAATATTGTTATTACTATGATTGCTTTTATCAAAGGCTTAATTGTAACATTATGTTCATTTTTAAGGACAAGTTTTGATCCTTTTTCAATTTAAAAACATTGTTTTATCCCATTGAAAATAATTACTATGATTGCTTTTATCAAAAGCGTAATTGTAAAATTATGTTTAATTTTAAGGACAAGTTTTGATCCTTTTTCAATTG